AACTTGCTACTTCTTCTCGATTGAAAGTTACGGTTTTTTAAACATCAGCCTGTAGTTGCACTCAAACCTTGATTTTCATGCCAACAGTCAAAGCGGTGGCAAAGATCAGGTTGGAGTGTGATTGCAATGAAATTTTGAGGAGTTTCAGATTGACGTGTTTTCTGTAGATTTGCAGAATTTAAACTTGCTACTTTTTCTGGATTGACAGTTACAGTTTTTCAAACAGCAGCGTGTAGTTTCATTTGAACGTTGAATTTCATGCCAACAATAAAAACGTTGGCAATTATCAGGTTTCAATGGGATTTGAATGATTTTCAGAAGTTTCAGATTGCAGTTCGTTCTATAACTCTTCAGAATATCAACTCTCTACTTGATATGTATTAGAAGTTACGGTTTTTCAAACATCAGCGTGTAGTTTTATGGAAACGTTGACATTTATGCTAACAATCAAAATTTATTTATGCAAACAAATGCATACAAATTTATGCTAACAAAAAAAATCAATCAAAAATTTCAATACGCTACTTCTTTCATGCAAGAAAGCTGGCGAAGCGCAATTGAAAGCCGATGAACATTTGCGTGTAATTCTACCTCTTAGTGAAGCACTTGTTTGTTCAGTCTTCCAAATCATCATCTGCTTCCGATAACGTTTCGCCACTTGTCTTGACCAACTGCGGTTTTACCAAACAACAAGAAAATTGTCACCTAAAGCTAATGTGTTTTTCTCCTGTTTAAAGCGTACTACAAAGGCACAATGGTCGAGATCAGTTTCGCAAAGCCCCCAAACGGCCTCAGTGGCCGTTGCTTCAGAAACCAGGACATGTAAGTGACCGTCGGCGAATCGCAGCCATTTCTGATCCCCATCATGTTTGTTTAGGTTGCTTAAGGGGCAGGTAGTCGAAGCGGCCCGCAAACCCAGCAATTTCCATCAGCGGCGTCCACAAACCAAGGCAAAGAGCATGCAAGAGAAATCCGTAGACGCCGCTCAGACAGTCACCGTCCCACCCATTGGTCAGTTCATTGCGCCACCAACTGTGTCTAATATCTGGTGGTACCCAGCTGCCAATGAGTATCAGCAGCCCAAGCCCGATGTTGTGTCAGGCCAATCCCATGAGTGCAGTTATTGGCCCAGTCCCAACGGCGCCACACCATCTATGTATTCTTCTCCCGCTTCTCTGGATTGCTTCAATTTGGAGGTGAGCTTGATTGGTTGACTGATGATGGTGTTCTTTACACGTTCCATTCAATTGCAGGACTTGGTTGATAGTATTTTGGCCTAAAGTGTGGGGCCCGTCCAGTAGCGCGTTTGGTAAGTGAAGAGTGCCTGCTGGACTTTGATGTGTTTCATGCTTGTTGTTTTATTTAGTCTTTAAAGTTCAGTGTCTTTTTAACTGTCTGAGAGTGAGTTTTTTGTTCGTGTTTTTTATGTTTGAATATTTACGTTATCGCCTACAAGTCGATTGAAATATTTTACATTCTACACATGCCTGCAGAGCAACCAGTTTTTTGCAATATCTTTGCAAGCATGTTGACGCGTTCTGTTGTCGATTAATTTTAATATTTATGTACTAGTTTTAAGTGTCTTTTCATCGTTCGATTGCTATTCAGCCTTGCCGTCCTACACCGTATTTATGCGCGTTAGGCTATACCTACAAAGTATTATGTATTTTATTAATTAAACGTGCCTTTTTATCGATGCTTGCAGTTTTAGTTGAGTTTCCTAATAATTTTAATCAACATTTCTAATTTAAAGAGGAGCTTTTTAAGCCAACATTTAAGACGTTGCGAGAGTATTGGTCGTCATTCAAATGAACTTTTCAGGAGCTTCACACTGAAGTCTCTTCTACAGATCTAGAAATTTTCGGCAGTTTTAGGCTCAAGTGTTTTCTGTAGGTTTTTCCTGTAGGTTGTAGGAATTTCAAGTTGCTACTTGTCCTGGATCCGAAGTTACGGTTTTTCAAAAATGACCGTGTAGTTTCATTGAAACCTTCAGTTTTAAGCCACGATTCAAGCCGTTAGCAGAAATCAGGATTGATTGCGATTCAAATGAAATTTTCAGGAGTTTCACATTGAAGTCGTTTCTGTAGATGTGTGGAACTTTAA